AAACTAGCACTACAAGGTTTCTGAACCACTATTTCAAGAATCAACGTTGATTTAGTATGTGCCTTCACTGTTTCTTGAAGGTTAAAACATTCTCATTTTTTCATGTCATGGATTTCTATAAAACTCTGCTCGCTTTTGGAAATCATTTTTTAATGCTGTAGAAGTTTCATAAATTTATCTTTACAACCTTTTAATGTACAATATATTTCTTCTTATGGTCAAACTCGTTCGAAATTCCATGTGTTGTAAGTTGTCTGGTTGAGGGCATCATATTTTTAATTTCTTTTATTTGCGACACAATTTCTTTAGCTCTAGTGTTTCATGAAGTGACTGTGCAATGAGCACCGAAGCTCTCTGCAACTCACCGAATAGCTAATTTTGAAAAGGCCATACTGAAAGAGTAAGAAATCTGTGCCCCCCCCCCCCCTTTTTTTGTACTTCAAGAAATAAAGTCGAGCTCGCTTATAACGAACCTGAGCCTGATGTGGCATCCGTTCGCTGTATACCGAAGTTCGTAGTAAATGAAACACAGCTTTTTAGAAAGTTGCAAGTGAAAACACAAACTTTTTTGCTCATAAATGTCTGTGATGCACGTGTTTCAAAGAGAAGAAGCGATAAGGGTGGTCTCTAGTTTATTTCAAACAGCAGCGTGCTTGCTCGCCGAGGCCCGTGGCATATGCTGCATGAGGCACTGGCTCCAAAGTTTCGTCCTTCTCGCAATTAGATTCCTCCAAATCGCTCTTGCCATGTACTTCATTCACAATTCTCTAATCCGTGCTCGGTTCCACGGTGTCGGCATCATCATCACCGGCCGTAATGAAACAATCGCAACAGATGTTCCACCCGCTCTCCGATGTCGGAGTCGACGGCGCGCTGTCACAAGTCGCCGCCGAAGTGATCCTGTTCGGAAGCTTCAGGCTAGGCATCAAGCCCGGCGTCGACGAAGTCGGCCTCGCGAAAACAGTATTGCACGCATGTAGCCGTCACCGCTGCCCACGAAATATTCACCATCTCCACAACTAAAAACCGGGACGCCCGAAGCGGCAAGTTGGCTGCCAGGTGGTCAACGGCTATGAGCAAGCGCTCCGCAACCTGGCACCTAACGCGCGGATTACACTCAAGCCAAGCGGTCACACTTTCGATGTTTTGTTAAGCAGCAGGAAAAAGCATACAAGTCCTCCCGTCTTCCATCCTGATCACACACACACACACACACACCAAGAGTGAGCAAGACGCACACACGCGAGACAGGTGCGAGAACGCGTGGAACAGCTCTAGGCCAGTTTCTAGTCGGAAAACAAAACTAACTCGAGCCAGCGTGGCTGGCGTCGTGGAGCGGTGGAGACGGGCGAAGGGGTTGTGTTCAAGAGAGGAGAGCAGATTTGCGAGAGAAGGGTGGAGTTGCGATAGAGTGAAGGTAGGGGAGAACACGGCGGGAGGCCGACCTTGAAAACCAAAACACGCGGGAAGGAGGTAGGTCGGGTAGCTTGCTTGAAAGGTCCGTGAAACGCACAACTCGCACGTAGATAACTTGGGAAAGAGTGCCTCCATGCGCAGAAGTCAAAGCACGGCCGCCTGGATCGGCGCGCGCGGCGGTGTTCAAATAATCGGCAGTCACGGTAAAAAAAATCATTTTGTTGCGCCGGCGGGTTTGCGTGGCTTCACAGACTTCGATATTTTGCGAATCGTTCCGCGCAAATTAACAGCCGTTTTCACGCTTCCACACGCGTGCAGAGGGCATGCTGAGCCGAGTGCGAAGTGAACGAGAACAGGTCCTAAACACAAAACGAATCGCAAATTATCAGTCGGTGGGGTAGCGTATGCGTGTGCACTAGATGCAGACGATCGGATACAGTCCGTGGCCGATGGTGTTGGCAAATGGTCTGGTCACTCCAGGCCGGCGGCGCCAACGACAGTACCAGTGATCATAAACGGAGGAGATGGATGACCGATCTTTTGAAAGACCAGTGGCAGTGTGAAAACACGGGCCTCGTCTGGCGATGCGCGGTGCTCAGAGGAGCGGGGGGGACAAAGCACGGTGGGGTGCGTAACAAAAAGCGTTCGGGGAGAGTGGCAACTATAGAGGGGCGCGGAGGCAGGGTCGGCGCTTAACAATAAGAATGTATGGGCACCTTGCCGATGCCTGATTGGTGGTCGAAAGTGGTTTCCGGGGCACTCTGCCGAGCGCCGACCCCGTTCGCTGTAACCAATCAGTGGCGCTGGGAGACGTTCGTTGTAAGTGCGATTTTGCGCCATTGAACCAATGTATATTTTCACGGTCACGTGGATATTGTTCGTATTAAGCGGAAGTTCGTTTTAAGTGGGGCCGTTATATGTGGGCTCGACTGTATAGGACAAAAGACTGACCTGAAAAAGACCCAGCAGTTGCAGAGAAATCAGCGAGACAAGTGAAGCAGGAAGCTATAAAAGTTGCTTTAAGAAAGTGTCTTCTGAAATGATACCAACGATATTACAGTAGACTCTCGGTGAACAGAAATCTGTTTAATGGAACTGCTGCGTAGATAGAACGACTGCCTCCAAAACAATTGGATTTTTTACTTGGATTCTCCACCCTTGTTTATCTCTCGGTAAATGGAGCCTTACTTGTGGTTGCGTTTTTACCGCTATGAGTAAGCAATGAACGTGATAGCAACAAATATTAAGACCATATGAAGTGAGGCTGGCAGAGCAACACTTTTCGCAATCTCTTCCATAGGCCGGCAAAGAAGGGGAACTGACACACTCATTGAATTTCCCGAGCTGGAATCACTCGGACTCATACTCATGAAAGCTTTCTTCAACCGGACTTTCTCGGACTCAAATTAGCCAAAATATTACTCATTCGGACTTGCGACTCGATTTGAATCTGAGTGAGTCCGAGTGAGTTGACTTATAAGCGAGTTCGCCGAACTATGGTCTCCTCGCATTGAGCGTGCAGCACATAAAAGTGTATGAGAGCAACCGACTGATTGCTGCCAAGCTAGCGCACGTACCAGCGATCACGGCGACGTCCTTAAAAGCAATGTTCAGTTTCTGGTTGAGCACCTCCCTACTGTCCCCCATCTTTTCACGCTCGTTCAAGATGAGTGGGGTGTTTCTTCTTTGCTTGAAGGCAGGCCTCCCCCGATTGGGATGTTATCGCATGCGCCCTGAGCAGTAGAGATGGACCTGCTGCTTCTGCCGCGTTCATCACATCACCCCCGCTCACGTGCTTTTACCCGCAGGTAGAACATGCTATGATGTGCGGGTGGATGCTATTAATTTGAATCTAATACGGGTCACGACGGCAACGGCGACGGCAAATAACTTCTCGAGATTATTCATATACTTGCTATTGCAATAAGGCCATTGCGCAATTTTCGCTTAGGGTTTGAAAAATGCAGCACTGCAGCTAGCTATAGCCGAATCTCAATAATTTGAACTTGCAGGAGCCCAAAAATTTGTTCGAACTTAAAGAAGTTCGAATTAACAGAAGCTAAATAAACTGTGGGCTCTCCATGCAGTGGCGCATGTGCATTGAGCTAACACACGAAGGGGAAGTTTCAGAAGGCTTGCATTTATTCACAAATCACAGGACATTCGTTATTAATCGAAGTAATCGATGATGCGCGTCTGCCCACGTTTGCCTTGCAGCGAGTCAATTCATTTCGCACGCAGCTTGCAAAGCATTTCTACGTCGGCTTCAGCATTCTCCTGGCAAGAGAAGTTGCGGGCGGAAATGTCCAGCGCCGACACTTTCTAAAGACAACGACAACAACGACTGCGTAGCGGCCGCAGCATGGTTAGCAGGTCACGAGAAAGGAGGAGCGTCTCCACGCGGAGAGAAGCAGATCGGCATTTGAGAAAAAAGCCAACTCGACGGCAGTATTTTTTTTTTTGCTCTATTCGTGCGCTTCGTTGAAAGGAGAAGGGATAATTATGTGGCAGCGACGGGAAAGGGGAAACATGGCACAGGCACGTGAGAGACCCCCCCCCACCTCAATGTGCAGAGCCGTGCTCCCCCAAGGGGCAAGGGCTGTATAAGATAGTGCCTTTTTCCTTTCCTTCAACCACACATTCATTCGACCCAGTGACAGCTTTCTTTTTTTGCTCTCTCTCTCTTCGCACGCGGCGTTGGAAAGAAAAGGGTCTTTACGTGGCAGGGACGGAAAAGGGAGAAGCGTGACACGGGCGCATCGCAGATCGGTATTTGAGAAAGAGCAAACATTCCACTGCAGCCTTTTCTTTCCTTTTCATTTCCTTCGTGCGCAGCGTTGAGGTGTCGCAGGTGCCGCCGCAGGATTGGTCGGGGTGCTGAGAGCATTTTCGGAGCGCGGTATGTTCGAATTAATCGTCACAAGTGCTTGGGCCTTCGAATTACCGGGAATTTTCGCCCATTGGAATGCACATAGCTTTGACGGGGCCTCATCGTGAGTTCGAATTAAGCGTGTTCGAATGAATGAGATTCGACTGTATATTGTTTACAAGTGCTGTCGGGCCCCGCCGCGGTTGTCTAGTGGCTAAGGTACTCGGCTACTGACCCGCAGGTCGCGGGTTCGAATCCCGGCTGCGGCGGCTGCATTTCCGATGGAGGCAGAAATGTTGTAGGCCCGTGTCCTCAGATTTGGGTGCACGTTAAAGAACCCCAGGTGGTCGAAATTACCGGAGCCCTCCACTACGGCGTCTCTCATAATCATATGGCGGTTTTGGGACGTTAAACCCTACATATCAATCAATCAATACAAGTGCTGTTGGAGCTATATCTGCTCTGAACGTTGTTTCTGGCTGCTCCAAGTCCGCTACAAAAGGCACTCTTGCCTGCTCCCAGGACTGCTGTCAAACACTTGTGTCCTGTTTCACCCCTGAAAATGTGATTTAAAAAAAATGTTTTTTTCTTTGCTTTTTTTTATGATACAAAAGCCGTGCCTTTCCATAAGGAAGTGTGCCTATGCCATTCATGCATAGTGCAATACCGTGGTGCCACGCCTCTGACTATCGCTTATTGCTCCCGTGTCCTGCAGAGCAGCTGCGAGAGAAGGCAAGCATTGCGGTGCCTCCCGACTATGGCCGCACGATGTTTGGCGTCATGGACGAGACCGGCACATTGCAGTATGGACAAGTGTTTGTCCAGTATTCGCGGGACTTCGCACGCTACTCGCCCGAAGATGAGTACGTTGTGCTCAAAGGTACGGCTTTGTGACGGATAGCCTCTTATACTTGCACTTGGTAAATGGTCACCAAGAGTTTTCAAGAAAAAATTTGCGAGCATCTCAGTGCGTGATATTCGTACTGGCGTTGTCATTCAGGGTAAACTATGAAAAGTACAAATTAGGGATGTGTGAATATTCGAACTTCCAAACATTTTTCTATTAGTTCTTGCCATTGGATTCTATTTGCACTGGAATTTTACTGTTGAAAGTATACTAACCTCTGAAAAAGTGGCTGTTATGGCGTCGTTCACCTAAGCATACTGCTAAGTATATCGAGTATGTATATCGAAGTATACTGCTTCTAAATGAAAAATCTAAGCCCAAATGCACCTTCACGTAGTTCTACAATATCTTTTAAAACAGTAGTGTGCAACTATGTCCACAGTCGGAAGAAACAAAGGCCAGCAGAGTGCATCCTCATAGGAAGGGAAATTTATTCTGCTGGCAGCCTTTTCTTGAGTGATCCAGTTTTGCTGGCTTTAAGGTTACTTTTGTATACACTTCGATTGCTTGCCGTTTCAAGGGCCATTACCTTGATGAGCTCAGTCTACGCAGAGCTGCTTGAGAATGGCCATTTGTAATACGTGAACATCAAATACAAACATCAAACAAATTCGGTCTGTTGATAATACGTGAACATGCTTATATATGATTTCTATTGCAATAATTTGAGTGTTTTAAAGTGCTATATGTAAGTGCTTCTGTAAATTATTGTACTAGCAACAACGACAATGCACCAAAATCTCGCTGCTCGTATGGATATAGCTTTATGAACCCCGCTTTTCCTAGAGTCTGTTATATTAACTCTATGGTGTGCACCTTTGTCTGCCACATCTGTTGAGCCTCCATAGTAGTTGGAGGGGTGGTTGAGGAAATGGTGTCTGTTCCTTTCGTGCGTAAAGTGTTCCTGGCACCACTTTGGTTGTACCAAATAGCATAAGTAAACACAAATAGGCCTCTGCATTCTTCGCCGTACGGGGGCGTCTTCTACCCGCCGTTTGAAATTTCGTACTGCAATGACAATATGCTCACTGGGAGGTGCTGCCACCTCCTCGGACTTACAAAATTATGTTGGGAATGATTGTGCTGCCTTTTTGTATAGATTACTAATTTCTAGCATTGGCGCATCGTGTGGTCTCTGGTAACGCCGATGGGCAACACTCTTTCGTGGTTGCGGTTGCACTGATTGCAATGGAGGTGTGCGAAACCCGATTTTTATTTTCACTCCCACGCAAGGATAGTGGAAGTTAGTTTACATCTTTGTAGGCAATGCTGTTGGCTTCTGTATCGCCAACACTTGCGTGGTATTCTCGTTCTTAACTAGTTTACTCTGCCCAAGGCAGACACATGTACAGATGATGTCATGTGTTTGCCAGCATAACTCATCGCTCGAAGGTGAAAATGGAGACTCATGTTGTGGGCAGACTATGAGGCACTGTGCGTAGATCCGTGTTGTAGTATAGAACATTTTGCTGTTCTAAGCAATGCTGACACCAAATAACTGTTCATCTATTTTTAAATGTGCAGCATTTTATAGCTGCACCTAGTCTAAAGTCCGGTGTCGGCGGTGCCGTCGACACTCCCACTGCGCATGCATAGGCACTGGATCGCGCGTTTAGAATCAGTCAAGGGTGTATTTACTTGGCGTTTGCTTGACTTGACGCTTTGCTTGACTAGAGTACATGCGCTGTAAACAATAGCACCTTCAGCCATCGCATGTAAACAACAGCACCTTCAACCAGTAGTGGGGCACAACCCAACAACAGCGTCCCACTACTGGTTTAAGGCAGTGCTTCTCCTTCATTAAACAAATAAGAATAATAAAGAATAATAAAGGCAAAACAACAATTAAGCATCATCAAACCATACCCAATTTTGCAACATTCACATGGTCAGATTTTTTTACTACTACAATTTTCTTCCTGATTTACACAAGTTGTATATTCAGAAACCACTAGAGTTACTTGAACATCTGAAAAAGTTTTTTTTTTTTTGTAGTAGCTTCGCACGCAAAATTTTGTTACCCGCACAGTTTTAGTACAGATGCAAGAAAGTGATCGTTCCTTTTACAACCTCTTTGCAGGCCCTGTGATTGTGACCAAGAACCCCTGCGTGCATGCTGGCGACATCCGCAAGCTGGAAGCCGTAGATGTTCCGGCACTGCACCACATCCGTGACTGCATTGTCTTTCCTTCTATTGGTAAACGGCCTCACCCCAACGAGATGGCCGGTAAGTGGTGCGGTTCAGCTTTCATTCCGTGCGTTGTCTTCGGTGACTGATTCTTGTCAATGGTCGACAGATCTTTCGGTCTTTCTGAGGTGCCAGAGGCTGCAGGGAGGCATATTGATGTGGTGGTCATGCTCCATTCACTTTCTTATAAGTCCTTGACTACAGAATTCTTGCCTCACCGGCTCAGCATCTCTTGATATTTACTGTCGACATGTGTTAGAACACTAATTTCTTGGCAAATGGAAACTGCCTAAAGGAGCCCAGCAATGCCTTTCAGGTTGCCATTGAATGACTTCATTAAAGGAGTGGCACTAGGCAGTAGATTTGGAGCAACAACGATCCAAGAGTTGCAGCATCATGGCTCTACAAATACAATGTACTCAAACCTTGATATAATGATCCCAAATATAATGAATTATTGGTTATAACGAAGTAAATAAAGAGTACCTGTTATAAGGTTCCTTACATATGTTTATAACAAATTTTTGGACAAACAAAGTATCTTCATGGGAGGTATTACTTTGTTATAATAGATATCAGTGTATGTAGGGGCAGGTGCACTCCTGCTGAACGATGCCTCCTTACCCTGCATTATTACACTGTTGGGTAAATATACTTTCTAGCTGTTCTATAGTTAAAGGCAGTTTTTATTCGGTGCTGTTATGGGTTTTTGTAACTCTGCACTCTTTTACTTGATGACAGATTGCATTTATACCAGTGAGCAGTACGCAAATGGGCAGTAGACGCTCGCTAAATAGAAATTTCTTGCACAGAACCGCTGCCTAAACGTATCACTTGCCCTCTATCCTTGAGCATATTGGTCTCGGGGAACCCTGGGCATTTTTCACTCTGTCAATAAATTCAGAAGCCAGAGTACTTAGAATATTTATTTACTGACATGCTACTGAACTCACAGTGGTGGGAAACCTGCGTCAATTGTGCCAACCTGTGCTAACTGGAAATTACTGTGCCATTCTGCTCCAAAAGGCTCTTTTTTGTCTAATTTGCGCCATTGCTGCACCGCAAGGGGATTGTTGAACCGAAAGTAATGTTGACACCACACCTTGCGAGGGTATATTACGTGACGGTCGCCATCTTGTACACTGGCAGTGCTGCATTTGCGTACACTTGCACTGTTGCAAAAGCATATAATCAGCCGATCAATTATTCTGACTTGCACGCGATTGCGGTGGTGCTCTTTCTGGTAACCATTGGCAAAGAACAAAGGCAACGGGGTGACTCCCAAAAAGTGCGCCCGTATGACTTGTCGACAAAAAGCCAACGTGTGTGGCGTAGTGCCTGTGAGCGCTGAAGTACCGATCGCTACCACCTGAATCGTTGTGCGGGACTGTGTTGAGCGTGTAGCGCTTAGCAGAGATGAAAGTACCTCACTGTTGCGGAGTTGAGCTGTGTGGATTGAAAACACCGAGATAGCAAGCGTAGTACACGCTTTCATGAGACGACAGCCCGAACGCGCCTCCATCCACTGCCAGGACCGCAGAGCATCGCTTGCAGAAAGCTCTCATCGTCGCGTTAACCTAACAGGCTTCTAGTCGCATCTCTGCACGGTCTGCAGCGGAGTGGGTTCAAATGGCTCCGCATGGTATGCAAGCCAAATAGGCGAAGCGCTGCACGCAACTAGCCAGTAGACAATCGGCTCCTTGCGACCGAACCGTGTCTAAAGAAAAAAAAAACTGTGTCACTTTTTACTAAGTAGCATGTCGCGGTATACATTTATCGTGGACAGCCGATTATGTCCGTTTAGTCACGATGTCAGTCGCTGCGCTGGATGCATATCCCGGACATTGCAGTAGTTTGAAATGCTCTTCGGTGTTGCCATAGCGTGTCATAGGAGCTGTCCGGGAATGCCAATCATTTCTGAACGTGGGCATAAAGAAAAAAAAATGACTTCGTGGTGGGCACTATACGCAATAATTACTGTGGAACTGTAGTTATTCTCTATTTTTAGTGGTGATGGGGCACGTAAAGAAATGCGAATTGGTACCCGGCCATAGGCGTGCGCACGGGGAAGGGGGGTGCAAAGCCAGTCCCATGCATTGACATGATAGGAAGGGGGGGCGCTGCGACGAACCTTCACCCATCCCTCCCCCGCTGAATGGGAAGCCTGCGCATGCTTTTGTACTTAGTGGTTGACGCATGACGCATACTACGTTTAGTGTGTAGTTAGCCATGTCCCCGGCAGGTTCTCAGCATGTATGTACATATTAAGGAGGTTTTACTGTAATGAGCTAGCTTGTTTGTGCAATATCTCTCACTATCTTGTGTCACCACTTCTGTACATATTCTTACTTTTATTTTTTGTGCTTAATTGGTGGGCTTCCTGCTTCTGTATAGATTATTTTGTAAAGTGAGGGAGCAATAAAGTAAGTTAAAGCTAAATTTTCTTCTTCTGTATTTGTCATAAAATGCCCGTGCGTACTCCAAAATTCTGGAAGGCATTCCCAACACCGAAATCGGTTTTCTTGCCCCAGCAAGTAAATGCAGGGCTCAGTAACACTCACAACCATTTGCATATTGACTGAAAGGCATAATTTGGCTTGCAAATTAGTACACGCACAAAAAGGCAGGAATGCGATGACAGGATGAGTGGCCTTTCATTTGTTGTGGCTTAAAATTTGTTACCAATTGGAATTGTTGCAACCGAATTTGTCGCGACTTAGAATGGTATGGGTGTTTTTTCCTGCAACACTTTAGTATCGTTCACGTGGCGAGCTAAAGAAAAGGTCAGTTATCTGAATTTATCAGGGGTGTTCCAAGGGCTTTGGTTAATGGACAGCAACATGCTCGCTTGCATAACGGGAAGGAATATTACTCTCAGCCCTCATTATAACAGAGCTGCATCTTACAAAAAAAAGTAAGTTTGTTATACCCAGAATTTCGTTATAAAGCTTATTCCCAACACTGTTTATTGCATGACTGTTGTTCATTTGCTTTGTTATAAATGATATTTCATTATATGAGTGTTCATTATATTGAGGTTTAAGTGTAGTAAGTCCCCTTCTATGTTATTTGCAGGTTCTGACTTGGATGGAGATGAGTACTCGGTCATCTGGTATGAACCACTCATCTTTCACAGGAATGATTCTCCGATGGACTTCTATAGTGATGAAGCTGTGGAAAATGAGGGCCCTGTAAAGGTTGGTGTTGTAGTGGGCTATTTTCGTTCAGTTTCGTTTTTGGTTATAGTTGCGAGCCGGCGCCTCGCACGTCACAGATGTATTGTGACATGCACCGCTAGGCTGCATATGAGGCGTATGTGTACATAGTTGTAAATAAATCGGTTGGCGACGAGAACGTGTTCGAGACTAATGTTTCTTTCACTCGAAGTCATGAGTGGCTGCTGCCGGCAGCGTTGGCGTGCTGCGGCACTTCGCTCGTCTTGTTGATGTCGCAGCCACTTCAACCCCGACACAACAGTTGGCTGCCATTGTTAAACTTCAGTTGCATGCATTTCACATTAGGGCACTCATTCTTGGATAGTTTGGCAAATCGGTTTCTCCAGAAACTTGCAAGATTAAGTAATCAGGGGTGGAAGTGCTGCGCCATCCTGCACCAGTCTGACCTGCTGCGCCTAAATGACAATTTGCGTGTGCGTTGCCAAATTTAGCCAAATTTTTTATCGATGAGCAAAACGCGTTGGATACATAAAGAACGCAGCCGCAACCATATCCCATGTAGTTCAGTCACGTCATATTTCAGTTCAGGCATGGTGCTTGCACCATGCGGGAACTGAACATTGTGCATGGATCTTGTGCCATGTGGACAAAATGTGCAAACTTTGACATGGTGTTTGTGTGCACACCTCATTATGCAAATTTATCTTCTAACAGCGAAGCTGTTAGAAGATAAATGGCACTAGTGTTGCAAAAGACTCGCTAGTGTTGCAAAAGACTGTTGCAAAAGTGTTGCAAAAGACTGCTGAGCTTGGCGGTTGCCGAGCAACCGCCAAGCTCAGCATGCGCTCTTTTATGGAGACCGTCAAACCATAAAAACAGAAAGAACAAAAATCCGTTTCCCTGGCCAAGCGATGAACCTAATAGCAATAAATTGTAATGTTGTAATAATAATGCCACTGGCATTCTTCCTATTTTGTTACTGCTCTATTATGCGTGTAACGCTGCCTTGCGCAAACCATGCCCGAATGACTGGTAACCGTCTAGATAATCTTCCATTTAGAGTACACGTGCAATGCATGCAATTAGTTTGTTCTGGAACTTGTGGGGCCGCTAGCGATAACGGTGCAATCTTTGATGGCATGCCAACACGTTTCACAGCTTGGTAGATTATCAACGGCCGACGTTCTATGTTTCCTGCTATCAGTCTACAGCGTGTGTTTCGTTTTTACAGTGACGTTTCATTTTTCGAGCTCAGGTTTGCCCAAATAAAAAATTGAAGTTATGAAAACGACTGCTGCCTTCGTGAACGTCGCTACACCGTTCAAAAACGAAGTAAGGCTGACAGCTAACTCTTTTAGATCCAAAATCGCACAACTTCACAAAACGTTGGTGTAAGCGGAAAAGTGTGGTCGCTCCATGGAGAGATGTGCACCAAGGACAGTATACCCTCATTATAACGGGAGTATCGGCAAAGAAAGGTTTGTTTCCCCCGTCGCGTTAGCACAGCACTGTAATGTGTTTGTTGCTTTGTTTACATTATGATGAGGTTCTGCTCAGTATAGTGTACGTGCGCTTCGGCAATAGTTTGTAAAAGAATGCAGCCTTGTCCAAGTTGTAAATGTCTCTATTTTGATACTGCTGAAGTAGGGCGCTCAGCCGATGCTTGCACCATCCGTCCGTGACGTCGTGGTCTATGGCTGCGCTTTCACCAACGGTCGATTTTGAAGACACACAGTGCTGTTTCTTGAAATGTTCAAGCCAGCTGTTGCTGCTGCCCATTTGGGTGGCTAGGGCTTTGGCTTTTGCGGTCAGTGCAGGTGCATTTACAGGAAGGTTTGCACTTCTAGCATTTTTCAGCCATTTAAGAAGCGCTCTTTCTATCAGGATTCATAGAATCAGTTGCGCTTTCATTTGGCTCAGAAACTTTTCTCGAAGCCGTCCAGTACGGCATCTTTATTCTTCAGAAAAGTTGATAATGTTGACAGCGGAGTTCCAAATTGTCTTGCGGTTTCAGACTTCTGCCAGCCTCCTTCTTTCCCCTCACTTGTCAGTTGAACTTTCTGCTCCAATGTCCGACACTTCTGTGTGGGCACTGACGGTGCCATGGTCACTTGACGGCAACTTAAAGCACTCGTGATGTGCTCACACATCACGGCTTTACACAGACCTCGCACAGCACACATGTACGCGTGTCTTCCAACCATGGATGAAAAAAACTCTGGGAGCATGCCAAGGCTCCGTACTGGTCACGTGACGCCATGTGTAGCCAGTGGCGTAGCGGCAGGGAGCTGGCAGCATGTTTCGAGCACATTCGTACCCGTTAGTACTGGAGTAGGGTGTGGAAGAGGATGCTAAAATTCATGCTGCGAAAGCTTTCCCACCATCTGCACTGGTGCACGAGCGGCCGCGCGGTCTACGAGCGCCACGCGTCATCGGAGTCGTCTTTAGCCCTAACTCCGCTGACAGCGAGACTGCGGGCAGGAACGACGCGCAAGCGCACTCTTGGCGACGTGCTTCTTTGCAAGGAATGTAGCACACCACTTGTTAGCTCCTCTGAATCACGTACGGGCATTTTACGCATCGGCAGCGGACAACACAGTCAAGCTCGTCACCCCCCCCCCCCCCCCCCCCCCTTCACTGCCAAGGATTGCTTGGAACAGCGGCTAGCAGTTTCGCGCGTCGTCATTCGAAAATGCAATGCTAAGTGCAGTGCACGCCGATTTTTTGTCATCGTAGTTACACATTTCGCGCATCGTCGCGGAACGCCGCCGGCGAGTGCATTACGCGCCGGCGAGTGCATTACGCGCCGGCTTCACTGTCCACGCGGCCGCGCACCCTACGGTCATATGGAGTGCTGTCGATAAGCTTTTGTGATGCGATTCAGACGTGCTTGGAGCCGTGCTTGATATCGCCACGAAGGTCTATGAATGTTCCGAGGTTAATGAATTGCTGTAGGTAAGAGTTTCCACAACCGGCTGTATGATGATGCGTTTCACGGCTAAAGCTGAAAAATGGCATGTATGAATCAGAGGCACGAATTTTTATATGCCTGTTTCGCGTCATTAATTATACTGCTAAATATTCCTGTGCCAGCAGTCTTCTGCCCATAACTTTGTTATTTGGAAAGAAGGCATAGGCCGTCATGGTGTGATCCATTTTTCTGATGCAATAAACCTGTCTCCAAATAAAAAAAAGTTCAGTGGTGATCCATTTTTCTGATGCAATAAACCTGTCTCCAAATAAAAAAAAGTTCAGTGAATATTTGTAATCAAGTACCTAATTATGCTAACTACAACTTCAGCACAAAAAATTTGTGTAATCATTTCAGTAGTATATGATTTTATTCAATTACAATCTTTTCTGTCATACCACACCACTCCTTCATACAAAGAACTTGGTTTGAAATCCATACTTGTTCTTTGTAAATCATTAATAGAAATAAATCATGAAAAGAAGTCAAATATCACAAGACAAACCTGAGATCACAATTTTTAGGTGTCTTAGAGAAATAAAGAAAAGTTGAAGCTTTAAACGCAGCTTTCTCAATACTGTTTTTTTGACATTATGCTCAGCCCCTCCACATGGTTCAATGAAGGAATAATATGTCTCTCGTAATGTATTTGTGATATCGCTTCAAAATTTTTATGGAAGCACTGCGAGGCCCTTCTTAGTGTATGTGCCAATTTTCATCAATATCCAACGAGAAATACAAAAGTTCATCGAACAAAGCCTGTCGAAAACTTCGACAGGCTTTTTCTCACAAGTGTGTTTTAGACATTGTGCATTCCTCGTGGAAAGAGTAGCACGGGAATGACTGGACGGATTTGATTCCGTTTTTTTCCCGAAACCCTGAACACTGCTTGTGGGTACAGCAATCCTCAATTTCTGTTTTATGGCCCTGTTTTTTTTTTCTAGACGATGATTTGTCTGTGCCACTGTTTCTGACCCTGTGTGTCGACCGCCATAATGATCTCTAATAAAAAAAAAAAAGAGAACTTATTAAAAAATTCTGAGAGTGCCATACCCTGTAGCTTTCTTTTGAGTAAAGATGAACACCATTTGCAGCTTCCTGGCATGTTTTGTTACAGCGCTAGGCTTTCCACGAGCAGACCATGTATTTGGACCATGTAGCATTATGTAACTTGAAAACTACTGAAGGTATCATGATGAAACTGCATATTTCCCTATTCGAGACACTTATGAGTATGCATGCCTAATTTCATTGCTGTAGATCAACAAATAATGTTTCTTTTCAATGCCACCTCCCCCCTTAAAAAGCTGTGGACACGTGGTGCGATTCAGCATCCAATTCGATGTGCGATGCCCCACGCGGCGTACGGCGATTCATACTCATGGGGAGAACAAGCCATCAGCGCTCAGGTCTTCGCCCACATACACTCAAACCTCAATATAACGAATCCAGATATAACAAAATATTGGTTATAATGAAGTAAATTAAAAAAATTTCACAATAAATTTAGTGTTACCAATAAATCTTTATAACAAAGTTTCGGATATAACGAACTTATTTTCATGTAAGATGCAAGTTTGTTATAATGAGGTTGGAGTGTATAACATGTCCTCAGCTTGCACGCTTGGAAGACATTGTGTCCTCTTTATCAAGCACAAAATAAGCAACCTCGCACAGTCATGCTTTGTTGTCTAATGACAGTCTACAAAGCTATGCCTCTACGAGTGACAAACATCGCCACAGCCCACATTCATTCTCGACTCCGAGCGTAGGCTTAGCAAGGCCTACATTCTCAGTAGCACCGCTCGCTTTCCTACGAGAGTTCATTGTCGAGAGATTCTTTTTGCCAACGCGATAAAAACTTGTAAACTTATATGACCCTTTTATGCATGCAAATGGTTTTCTCGATGGCCTCAATGTAAAGAGCAAAGGTAGGAACGAAGCGGGCCAGTTCACAGAGACTGCTGGTGCCAATGTTCGTTTACCTGCGGAATGGCCTTCGATCACGGCTCGATATCTCATTGGTGGTTCGGAAACAGACATTGCCTTGCAGAAATGGCACACTGCAAGCATCATTTTATTCAATCATAAGTTATGTCAAGTCAAACAGTTTATCCAATGTGTTTCATGCCACTGGCAATGGTGATATCTTCAAATACCAGGGCGATTGGGGGTATCGGAACGGCGATAGACAAACCTGTGACGGGCGCCCACCAGTGGTCCTCCCCAATTCGCACCATGTGTCCAGCACCAAAGTGATGCCATCCCAACGTTGAGCCATAGATCCTGCCGCAACAGTAGCCACACGTGTGGTGCAGACGACGGTACCACAAAAATTTGCGCGTACACGTACTACTGTCTGGTGGCGCTACTCATACCATGTCATGATGTCAGGGTTCAGTAGGAACAGAAACTAGCTTTTAAAGGCATACTGTAATAAATTTTTCAGGGCACACTCATGCTTACCAGTATGTTTTCTATACTCTCAGGTGCTTGGCCTATCATTTGATAAAAAAAAAAAAGCGATAAGTGAAAAGTTTTGTGTCAGTACCCCTTTAATCCCTGCTTGAGTAGCGCTCGTCGCCCCCACTTGCGTTTTCACCGGCGGTTGGAACATGCGATGTGCAGGGCATGTTACCAACTTGGAGTTTCTGCGGGACATGGCGGCGACGGCAAAAACTCGAGTGTCCATGTGATTCCTATCGAATAAAAAAAAAACGGCGCGGCGAGGGTATCTTATTTTCGTTATGGTTCTCATGTCGGCTCTGGTGCTTCAATGACTGGAACATATGTTTTTAAAATAAATGTTTAGTCTTATTGGGTTCAAAATGAAAACTGTTATTAGCTCATCTCTACTCTTGAGTTGCTGTTCATGTTGGATGCAGTGTTTTAATCACATTTTTAACATTGCAACATATATATATATATATATATATATATATATATATATATATATATATATATATATATCAAGCAAGTGTTTTTTTGTGGATCCAGTGATACCGTATTTTCGCGAGTATAACCCGCACCAAAAACCCAAAAATTTCAGTGGCAAAGTAGAGGTGCGGATAACACACGGGGTTTTTTCCTATAGTGCTGCTTCACAGCAATTCCTGTTGTGCTGTGAAGCCCCTTAACAGTGTAGCGAAGGCTAAGGAGGCGGTTTCCGCAAATTCGTGTTGCTCCGCAAGTAGCATGGCAGCTTGCGGCAGATTTTGGTTTCACTTGCTTGCATCGTTGAAGCGTTTAGAAAAACATTTGGGGAGAGACAATTCGATTGTTCAGTGTAAAATCTCACTGTCACACCACAAGTATATTTTTTGGACGTTCGCGAGAGAGATAGAGATATTATCAGTAAATTTATGTACTACTTTTTGACGCGGTAGCAGGCATGCATTTCGGTTCTGTTGTTTCCAGGGTGCTGTTACAGTGTACTAGAAGGGGTAGTGGTAAGTCGTGGAAGCCTAAGTTGATCTGTTCTGTCACCATGAGTAGCGTACGGCGGCAGTCCTTCACGGCACAGTAAAAGCAGTCGCCGAGGAATTCAGAAATCGCAAAGCGGGAAGACGGCACGATGTGGACGAGTCCTGCGTGCGACTGTGGAGAAAGAAGAGAGCCTACAAGCCGCGCACCCTGACTGTAGGTCGTTTCGTGGCCCCAAGACCGGTGCCTACCCTGAGCTGGAGGCGGAGCTAGTAAAGTTCATCGAAGATGTGAGAAGCAGGGGTCACGCTGTATCGACTGAGACGGCCCAAGTGGAAGCGCGGCGACTTTCGAGGGAGCTAGGCCTACCTCACGAGTTCCGTGCGAGCCGCGGATGGCTGCACCACTTTATCAAGCGGCATAGGCTCTCGGATCAGGCGGCGGACTACAATATGTCAACGCTTGCCGGCTTCTTATGAGGAGAAGCTGCCCAAGTACCAGAGATATGTAATTGGCCTGCGAAAGCAGCACAATTACATTTTCTCGCAAATCGACAATGCGGATGAAACTCCTGTTTATTTTGAAATGCCGTTGGACACAACGATTGAGAAGACAGGCAGCAGTTCGGTGAGCGTACTGACCGGCGGGAACACTAAACTGTGCATCACAGTCTTGCTTTGTGCCCTCGCCGACGGCACGCAACTGCGACCGTACGTCATCTTGAAAAGGGAAACTCCCAAAGATTCATTTGCCTGCCGGTGTGGTGGTGTGGCACACCAGAACGCGTGGATGAACAGTGACTTGTTTGTAGACTGGATCAAGACGGTATGGGAGAAGAGGCTCGTTGTGATGCTCGCAAAGAGGTCCATGCTCGTTTTTGACTCGTTCCGCGGCCACACAACTGAGGAAGTGAAGGACCGCCTTTCCTGCAACGGCACCGAATTAGTTGTTATACCCGGTGGAATGATGTCAATGTTGCAGCCTCTAGATGTGTCGCTTAACAATCCCTTCAAAGTGCAGCATGTCAAGCGCTATTACCCCGAGTGGATGGCCGAAGGCTGCTACGACTTGACGCCGACAGGAGGAGTCGGAAGGCCTGATATTGCCCTATTCTTCAAGTGGATTGTCGAGGCATGGAAGGCCATTCCAGGTGAGATGGTGCGAAAAAGTTTCAAGAAATGCTGCATCACACACAAACAACATGGATGGAACCGAAGATGACCTTGTGCATAATAGTGAGGACTGCGGCTCAAGTGATAGCTCTAGCGAGAGCAGCGACAGTGAGTGAATTGTGACTGGCCTTGCAGACAGCGTATTCTGCTTGCTAAATAGAGCTTTTTCTGTCTACATATGTGCTATATTGCTTGAGCAGTAGCTTTTGTACAGCCTTTCCTGTATATCAAATGTGCGGGCAACACGCGAGAATTTTTATTTTCTTTCTCGGTGAGCTGAAAGTGGGGGTGAGGATTATATGCAGGGGCGGGTTATACGCGCAAAAATACGGTAAATAGAAATTGGCTTGAGCGGATGAACGTACGAGACCTTTTATTAATTCCTACGTTTCGGCCAGCATGTGGCCTTCGCTATTTCTATGAGCCTAGAATTCATCGCATGCTCAATTCATCAGGCTGTCTGATCGAACAGGCTTATAAATAATCTCCAATTTAAGGGGCCCCCAGTCACATGTTACATACCAAGTTGACCTCAGTGTGGCAGTTTGTTGCCTCATGAATTGACTGACGAAGAAATTTTTATGGCCTGACAAGGTACTAGTTAGTGACTTTTTCCAAGCTGTAACTGCTTTGTTGTCTTGGCAAATGCACTGAAAACTGCACGGTTGAGTGACAAGGGAGCAAGAAGCTACATTCATCATGATCTGGAGCATTTTCATTTCTAGTTGTTTGAACACGTGCACGAAAATTGCATGTGGCTCATAGGCCTGTGTCTCAATGTGCCGTGGCACGGGCACAGAGTTGGAACATTTTGCGGTAACCGTGTCGCCCACAGTGTTCAAATCAGTCAATGGCTGTTTCTTTTTTGGGGCATGTTTTGCAGTTGATTTTCGGTATGTGGCATCATTTGTTGAAAAAGGGAGCGTTTTCTAGCTGTGAGAATGAATTGTGAATTGCATGTTGCGTGCTGCGCTATAAAGTTTGAAGGAACCTGGGCCACCAAGTGGCAGGATTTTCCGACGATGATCAAGGAGTGTGGGGCACCTTTCAGTTATGTCCAGTGCTTCTTTTGCAGGTGGAAGACATGGTCGACTTTCTATGCAAGTACATAGAACACGACGTTATAGGCCTCATCAGCAATGCACACCTTGCGTGGGCTGACTGGCTGCGCGAAGGGGTCTATTCGAACATGTGCCGGACGCTGGCTCATAAAGTGTCGCGTGCCGTCGACTTCGCTAAACTCGGACGACCCGTGTCTCTGTCCATGAGCGAGAAGCCCGCTGCCTACCCAGACTTCATGCAGAAGCACTGTGAGAAGGACACATACCTGTCCCGCCATGCGCTCGGTAAACTTTACCGCGAGCTGGGCGGCATGGTCCTGGACAGCGTGGGGCCCGTGGGCGATGTGAAACCGGACTGTCGGCTCGTCATCGAGGGACACGAGGCACACATGGAGGTCGCCAGGCAAGCTCTGGCTAAGTATCGGCTCCGGATCAGGTCGCTTCTAGCCACATACGGCATCCAGTCTGAAATACAGGCGCTGTCCGGTGCCGTGATGACCATGGATCCCCGCATCTCGGAGAAGCACGACTACACCGACGTGGCTGTGGTTGTGGAATACCAGGTAAAGTTGATAAGCTGTTTCATTTGCTGTGGTTTGACAGTGTATGTGATTACAATCTGGAAAAAACAATGTAAGCTTCACCCACAGAGTAATGGCGTGCCTGTCTTTCTGCTGTGAAAGAGTCGTGCTAGCTGGTATCAGCTCTAACCATTAGCTATTCTCGGCCAATGTAAGTACACCTATCAAGAGTTCAAGGTTTCTATCATTAACTAAAGCATCACTGGTGGCTGATTAGCGCTGTCTGAATTCCTGACAAAATTTACCAGGCATCAAGTTTCTGACTATAAGCAAGCTACTCAACCCTGCCTGTATGAGAAAATGCACTACAGTAAAAAGCTTGTTAATTCGAACCGCAAGGGGAAGCCGCCTCAGTTCGAATTAACGAAAGTTCGAACGAAAGTGAAGAACAATAGTACACTGCGAGTAGGGCATAACAATTTATATTTTGAAAAAAATCTTATCGCGGTCTACCTCCTTTCCTTGAAGGCGACAGCCAGCACTTTTTGCTCTAACGAGCGAATTTGGCGAAGGCCTCTTCTACGCCTTCTTCAAAACTTGAGAAAAGACAGGCGGCATTCAATCCGGCCATGACTTCCGCAGCAGAGGGCCGCACTGGTGCTTCGTCCTCCTCCTCATCATCGCCACTGGCAGCGACAGGTTCTGCACTTCTCACGAGACATATGTCGCCATCCTTGAGTGCACCACACACCACTGCACTTGAGTGCACTTGCGAACGCATTTCTTTTGTCCAAATGAGAAGCGCTTTCTCGAGGTCGGGATACTTTGCGGGCCGCAACCTTCTCCTTTTGCTCGCAACTTCTGCCTCTAAGGCGTCTTTAATAGTCCTCCTATTTTTTATATAAGTAGATAGCGTCGTTTTCGTTATTCCAAGCTTTTTCGTGATATCTTGCTTAGGCAAGAATCTGGCGTCCACTTCCCGCAGGGTATCAGCTTTCTCCTGAAGTGTTTTGGCACGGTATTTGCCGCGGGCACATGCTATCAAGTCGGAGCAGCAGAATCGCGACAGACGGGAAGGTACTATCGGCGCTACTGCAACAAACGTTAGCCGAGGCCTAACACCAACACAAAGAATCGCGACAGTCTGAAGCTACTCCCAGCACCAACAACCGAGGTGTACAACGCACGCCAGAGATGGACTGCAGAGAAAACTGGGCGAAGCTACGACGCGCCCGATTTGCTGTGTGCTGGTCATGCCATCTGTCATCTAACAGCGACAACTACACAGGATTTTCAGACTCTGAGATTGGCGCTTTAAAAAAATAAATCTTGGAGGTTACGTAGGACGGAGAGCAGGCAGATGCCGAGAGAGAGAGATTGTGGGGGAAGGGGGTGAAGAGTAAGTGGCTCCATTTTCTTCACTCTGGCCTCCGTGCCAGTTTCTCCGTTTTTCACTCCGCTCTCTGTCCACGCCGCCTCGAAACTCGGCAGCCGCCCTATCGAGTGACTAGCCAAGCCGCCGGCGCAGTGGCGCGTAGTTCGTATTATCCGCGGCGGAACCTACTCGTGTTCAAATTAACGGGCTTTTTTTTATTTATGGGCTTATATAGAGCTTCGCCGGACCATAACTTACAGTTCGAATCATCCATAAATTTGAATTATTGAAGTTCAAATTAACGAGCTTTCACTGTATTTGAAACATTATAAAAAATGTTTCAGTTTCAGAAAGTCAACTATCTGAAAAATTCTTCAAATCCCACGTACTTGAGAATTGACGTTATGCGAAGCATGTGGAGGGAAAGTGACAGTGTCGCAAATGTTTTGTTGAGCGACACGTCATGAAATGACTCTAAATGTAGAAATGTTGTACGCACAGACATATGTTAAAGAGTTGCAGATGTTTGTATAACCAGTTGTTTGCTCTTGCACAACGTTGACAACTGGGACATGCGTATTAGCAACACCAGAAGCTGATATGAAGCGCTGATGCGTGCGAGGATGCTGGCCCTAGACACTGCTACATAAATGAACTTCAGCACATGACAACCAACCACAATTAACGTTAACCCGACGTGACAGCTGTATCAAAGGAGTAGATATGTAATGTTTACAAAATTCGGTAGGCACCACTGCAACCACTACTGAGGTTTCATGAAGAATAGCATCTGAAAAATAGTTTCAAGACCTGGCGTAGCTTTGTGGTAAAATGCTTCATTGCCACGCGAAATGCTTCGGTTCTATTCCAGCTGGGACCCTGGCATTTATTCTTTGCATTCGTCAGGTCCACGCTACCAATGTCAAGTATTTCTTAATGCTCGCACGTTAAAATTGCCCATGTGTGTTCCTGGGTAGATACTAAGTGTCAATCACATGTGGCACATACTTGCATACCAGCGGCACATACCCGCTCGTGGGTATGTGCCACTGTCTGGTGGGAAGTGTTTGACGACGCACGCAAAGGGATATTGACATTATTCATGTCTTGATCAGCGTGTCATATTCGTCAAACCATCTTACCCTCTCATGCTAATTTTGGTTCACGTCAAATTAAGGGGGTGCCCACGAGAGAACGCAAACGTAAGCGGACAGACAGGCAGGCAGGTAGGCACGCTCAAAGTCGCCGAAGTTTGCTAAGGAATGCTTCGCATTTAAAAAATGGGTACCTGCTAGGGATGTGTGAATAGCAATTTTAGATTCAGAGCATCTCTTGCTAGTGGGTACTTCATGCGTCAACCAGTGTCCCTGCTCGCACTACACAGGCACGACTCTGCTCCTTCCCTCTCTCCAACAGCTGGGCGTTACTCTTTCCACTTATCTCGTACTACCTTCTTGCACTAGCTCCCCCATTGTGCAAGGGCCTCCCCTCTCCTATGCTCCCCCTCTCCTGCCTCGCAAGGCTGACTCAGAAAGCATCTGCTAACCTACGCTCGCACCCCCCTCACCTTCTAGGCATTCCTCCCTGCAATGCCTTGCAAAGCCGATGCAAGCTTCGTCTGCTAGCGAGTTTTTTATAGAAAAATAAACTGACTGCCCTCGCCTCACAACCGTTCGCTGGCCACCTTGTATATATAGGCACTGGATCTTGATCTCCAAGATAGTGCCAGGTGGGAGGGTTTTTTGATATGTTGTTAGACAATAGAAAAAGTTCGCACATACCACGTACCTTAAAAATTGTGGCGGTGCTGGCACCTCCTGTAAAGTTGTTCGCGCTGCGCGGTGCACGTGTCTCACGCTAAAGCCGCATTTCGGGTTACAACTACCAAGTGATAGGTGGAGTTGTGTACGCGGCGGTGACCCCTGGCGGAAGGCAAGCCTTCGTGGCGGGCAAGAGTTGAGTGAGTTTCTTCTGCGCGTGGCGGTTGCCGTGGACGGTTGTCTCTAGCGTGGGCCCTCGGCGCGTGGCACCGCGGGCTGCGCGTCGGGGCCCCTCTTGGTAAGTCAAACGTTGGCGACCCCGCCTTGGGTGTGATATTGTTTGTGTTTGTCATGTTATTGTGTTTTTGTCATGGAGTGTGTGGTAATGTTCTGCACAGATGTCCTAGCGCGTTGATAACGATTTATGTATCGATTCGGCAGATGATATTGTCGTTATAAATTAGTTAAATGTGTGTGCGTATCGTTTGGTTTGTATTGACCGTGTCTACTGTGTCCTTTCACTCCAAGGGTGTGGCGTAGCGCTCGCCATATTGAGACCCCACAGAACCAACTTTATGTGAAGAATGTGGAGGGAAGGTGACCGTGTTGTAATATTTTTAATGCACAACACTTCATGAATTGACTCTATATGTACAAATATTGTACGCACATACATATGTTGAAGTGTTGCAGATGTTTATACTATAACAAGTCAGCAAGTGCGAACCAGTTGTTTGCACTTGTGCAACGATGCCGACAGGAACATGAGTATTAGCAACTCCAGAAGTGATAAGCTGATATGAAGTGCTGGTGTTTGCGAAGATGGTAGGTCTGGACACCGCTACATAAATGAGCTTCAGTGGATGGTACCTAACGTTAATTGACGTTAACCTTATATTACTGCTGTATGATAGGAGTACATATGTAATGTTCATAAAACTGGATTGCCACCACTGCAACTACTATTGACATTTCATGAACGTTATAGTCTATTTGAAAAGCAGTTTCAAGACCTGGCATGGCTCTGTGGTAGAATACTTGATTCTCACGCAGAATGCTGGGGTTCAATTCCTGCTGGGACCCTGACATTTATTCTTTGCATTTGTGGTGCAACGCTGTCAACGTGACGCTTTTTTTTTTTCTGAAGCAGTGATCCTACTTCGGTCAGTATTGCTTATTGAGACAAACAGTACTTAACTAAGAAAAAAAAGTACTATTGTAGCAAATATCTGTACGCCCTTTACAGGTGAAGCACATCATGGAGCGGGCACGTGACGAATTCCTCGAAGGTCTGGGCACAGACTACAAGGAAGCGAAGCGCCGTGCGTCTGCATGGTACTGCTGTGCCTATGAACAAGGTGCCCAAGCTGAAGGATTTGCCTGGTGCGTGGCGAACGAGCTCATGGACATTCTACAATGTGCAGCTCCGACCAATGGACTAACGAGGGGAAGCATACGAGATCGCGTGACCCATGCCTTGCTTCCAAGGAAAGACCAGGCGAATGTCACTTTCAAGACTGCACTCTTTAACAATGCTCTGAAGCTTCTCATACGTTGGGTCAGGGGCAACAAGCAATACCTGTGGAACACCGACATAGACGCGGCGGCGAGTTACCTGAGACGTGTATCGAGTGTGTTGAAGAAAACCATAGCACAGCTTGAAGAGAACTTCGGACTCGCGCGAGTTCAAAAGCAGCCCAGCTTGGTTCTTGTGAACGTGCTCAAGAACCTGGTGCTTTGTGTGAAGCCTAAAAGTGAGAAGCTTGAGTTTTTCTTGGCGGACCTGGCTGAGCGGACACTCTTACGGCTCCTCTACCCCAGCAAGGCGGTGGAAGGCGACATTCCTCTGGAGTCGGTGACACCAGTGGGACCGACGCAAACACAGGTCGTGCTTCTCCCACTGAGGGACGACGATGACTTTTTTCTGGCGGTGGTGCGGCAGGAAAAGCGGTTCCGGAGCTTTTACAGCTCTGGATGCAACTTCAGAAGGTGGCGATTATGACCTGGAAGGATGCCAGAGGCGACTGGTTTTTCAAACTTATGGTCACTGGGAGCCCGTGGGCACTTGACACTTTAAAGAAGACTATAATCCACGAGAGATTCCAGGACGAGCTCAAAAGAATTCTTCTGAAAGAAGGGGAGAATCCAGGCAATGGTACAGTTGAGGAAAAGGTGTGTTGAATGTAAGGCAGGATGGCGTTTCGCAGCAAGGTAAACTTTGTGCCGTGAAACTTTTGATAAAAATGTGCAGTGCCATCAAAATGGATACATTTGGCAAGGGAACTTACGATGCTAAGTCACTAATCGATCAGCTGTTCCATGCTGACTTGAAGAGAATTCGTTAGTATAAAATCGATATCGTGATGTGATACGATGTTTAACTAGTTGATGAATTTCTTGGTGGGACCGATGCTTTCTGCAGTATAGCTCGGAATAGCTGGTTGTGTGGAGCTTTAATATATTTGTTTGCATAGCTTGTAAAGCATTGCGCGGAAACTGTAAGTTGTGGTAAAGTCAACCATTTGCTGTTTGCCAAGTCAAGCTTTGTCCTGCAGTGGACGTAGTCAGGCTGATGATGATGATGATTATGATGATGAGGTCAAGCTCGGCTTTAAAAGAAATGACGACAGTAGACCATTATTCACGCAGCATTGTAAGGAATCTAATTGATAGCACAAGAGCAAAACGAGACGTGGTGCTATGTGCCATCTTGCACCATATGTGCAGTTTTTCGTGCTGTTGCCTTAACTAAGCTTAACATACAAAGAGGTTAATATCATAAAGGCAAGCTGGCCTAAGAAATGTCAGGTTGTATGTGTCATTTTGTTCAACTAGGCAACTTTGTGTGAGGTCTACTACAAGCAAGTGTAAAAGTTTTCAACCATATAAAAGAAAACATGGTGGAATAAAATGGGCGAGTTCTTGTCAGGATTTTTATTTCTAACTCTCTTGGTGCTTTAAATATTCTCATTTTTAGTGTATTTGCAAAAAAGAAAAAAGTGCTCAAGGTCACGAGGCGCACATGACGTATTTCCTTTATCCCTGCCATCCCTCCCCGCTTAGCTTCCAGCGCTTTCATCAGGACGAGAGAAGAAAAAATTCAATGGTAGCATGCGACATATCTTGGCAACTCCTCTTGCACTGGAGGGATTCTTAAAATTTTTGCGGTGTTGAATTCGTGAAGCAATAAGCTCTTCCAGTGAATTCGTTCCATGGTTACTTGAAAAAGTGTTTCAGGGCCCCTTTAAGTGGAACAGGTGCCATAATGTAAGTGTTGGATGCGCTAGCGATGGGTTTCAATTGAAAGAATGAGCATTTATGTGCTCATTAAAAGTGAATTAAAATATATTTTAAATGTTTGCTGTATTGAGCCGTTCATGTGAAGTGTCCTTGCATACAAAGGAAATTCACAACAGGCTTGATATAGCCTCAAAATATATTTGCACCACTCCTTCCACAAGACTTTACTCTGTATAGAGACTTTACATTAATGGTTTTTGTAGAAATTTGGAAGGACTGCTCAGAAAGATTGTAATGGTTTCGATATCAAATTTGAGAACATCACAGTGATGCAGAAAGGGTAAAACAACTAGCAACTCCTACTTCACTGGTGAAACTTGTCCCTGGTTTCTTAAAATATACGAAAATGGGGTTGTCTCTTTTCCTTGCAACAAGTAGCTCATTAATAAATTTTTTTAACGAGGAGGGGAATTTCTCTCGCTGTCAAATCGGTTGTCAAGCTGAGCCTCCTAGCGTCTCTCATAATCATATGGTGGTTTTAGGACGTTAATCCCCACACATCAATCAAGCTGAGCCTCGTTGTGTTATGTTACGCTCAAGTAGCTTCTGCATTGGCAAACAGCCTTGTTCTTCACATTCAAGTCTTGCTGGAACCTTGCTTTGCTTTGTGCAGGAATTTGCTCAAGAATTGGTAAATGTAATAACCATCCATCCGCAGAAGATTGGTGTGAAATTTCGTGTACTCTAGGGAGTGTGCGAACTCCACAAGATCAGAAGCATTTCACAAAACCTTTACACATGCTGTCCTGACACTGTTCAGTGAGAACATTTTCATGCTTAATGTAAGCTTAATATCATTTATAATGCACTCTTCTGAACATATACACATGAGTGATGTATCATTAAAGCCTTGTGCAAGTCAGGAATAAAAATTATGGTGCCATATAAAAGTTCCTACATCCTCACCACTACAACATTTGAAAAGTCGGCTATCCAAGTCAGCCTAAGCGCAAATTTCAAATTTTCTCAATGGTGAAGTAATGGGAGCACAATCGGGGTTTTAATAAACCTGGCGTTCTATTTTTCACAACACCGTTGCGTGCCTTAAGTGATCAGCTGTGCCTGAATATGTAGTCTTGATCTCATAGAATGTCCGTCATGTGTGTGTCGAAAAAAACTATACATAAATAAATTCCCAAACTTCCCTCGAAAACTCTGTAGCAAAAAATTGATGCGTACTCAACTCGGCCTTAAAGCTGTCTCTGAAAGCCAAACTGCTGACAGTGTGTGCTGCCATGTGCGATTTTGAAGATCAAAGCACAAGTTATTCTTGCCGCATTAAACATACTCTTGAAAGTTGAGTTTGCTAGGTGCGGTGCTATGTAGGCACGGCTATGTGCACAGGCTTTTCTTCGCATTGTACAATGAGGACATGCTTCATGTCTGCACAGGTGCACCTACGTAGTGATTCAATGCTCGGGCGATGGTGGAATATATTGTCGAAGTTGGCAAATAGCGTGTTCTCATGTTACAGTTGTGCTAAATGTGGCATTGCCAAAGTGACGGTATCTAACTTTCTCCGTGGCACTACGCTCCATACAAGAAACCAGCTTATGGAAGTGATGTGATAAAGATGCCAGTTCATGCGATGAATGTTTAGTACGAAATATTTTTGTACATTGCTATGTTTAAGCAGCGTTACTGCAATATATGCTTAAGCGAACGCATTTGCATCTTGCAAAATGAGCCTACTTTTTTTTTATATGTGCACTTTGCTATGGCTGAAATGCTACATAAAAGTGGAAATGAAGCCCCACTTTTGCGCAGCATTTCTGCAGGTGTGCTTCTGATTTCAACACTGCCATTTTGGTGTACGGTTTTAACAAGATGAGCCATGTATTGTGACACTGTCATACCTCTGTCAGTGATACTTCTACACAACAAAATAAGCTTCACGAGTCTTGAAAAGGCTTACGTATGAAATGATGATACTTATAGCGCGAGAACAGAACAACTACAAAGAGACAAGGACACTAAGGATGCTTGTGTCCTTCGTGTCCTTGTCTCTTTGTCGTCGTTCTGTTCTAACGCTATAACTATCGTCACGTCATACCAACTAGCCGAAACTGCCACCCTTCTAAGTTACGTATGAACTTTTCTGATCCTTTGACTGCTGTGTTTTTGATCCTGTATTTGATCTCGTGAATCCTTTCTACTTGGGGGCACCCACAATAAGCGAGTTCTTTGGGGGGAGTCTAGGAGGCGAGAAATTTATATGTTTCGATTGTATTTGCTCTTGCAGGGGCAAAGGGGGACAGGTGAAAATATTAAGGGGGGCTTCAGCCCCCCGCCCCTTGTACTTCTCACTGGTGCCACCCCTGTCGCGCCATTTTTGCTTTTGAGTGAGTTGCGTTTCACGGCATTGAATGCCTACTGGCATACTCTGTTGCATTGTTGAAATGTTAGGCACAACATTTGCCAAATGTGCAAAACCTTTGTTGGGGCTAAAAGCTCTTGATATGCTCACTGCTGACTTTGTTTCCTTGCTTTTTGCTGTTGCATTTGTGTTGCCTAAGATTCCGGTAGGAAGTTACTTATTATTTGAGATAAAGGTAATACATTGCCTTGTGACTGACAACATGACATACCGTACATGAGTCAACTGCACAAAAACTCATTCCTTTGTGACGCAATTTTTGAAGCAATAAAGTTTGTTGCTGTTTTTGGAAATTTTCATCCCGGTTGTGTATCTGACACTGTGAATGAAAGGAGTCAACAGAAGCATAGTGTGATAGCCCACATCGGTGGTCTAGTGGTTGAGGCACTGGGCTGACAACTCGCAGGTAGCGAGATCGAATCCCGGCTGCAGCGGCTGCATTTTCGGTGGAGGCGAAAGTACTGTAGGCCAGTGTGCAGAGATTGGGTCGCACGTTAAAGAACCCCAGCTGGTTGAAATTTCTGGAGTCCTCCACTACGGTGTCTCTCATAATCATACGGTGTTTTCAGGACATTAAACCTTTCATATGAGCATAATGTAATAACAGTAGGTGAGCCAGGTCTTGCATATTGAATGTTTCACAAGTTGGAAGTGTAAGATGTTGGCAGGAAGAAGGAAGGTCGGAAGGAGGATACGGAAACAAAACATGGGTTTATGACATTATTTACACATATTTACAGAAAAGAAGGGATAGTGGTTTCACAAACCACGAGCGTGGTGGTTGAACGTTACATAGTTCAGAGCGACGTCTAGCACTCTGCTGCGTCGTTTTATGCCCTGTCGGGCTCGTCCTCTCCGAGTCGAGCACCAATCACGCACACACAGGTGAGGGGGGCGAGCATGCACGGTCCACGTGAACACTGCACTGTGGTGGCGCCAGCAGGGCTCTTCCTCGTCGTGTGTGTGCCACTACTCGAGAGTTCCCACGATCCTGGCAGCATACTTCAAAGGGTCCACCGATTTTGTTCGCTCAATTAGCGGGGTGATTTCCGGTGGCCGTCGGTCTCCTCCAGGAAGATGCTGTCTTTGTTGGCCTCTCTCGAATGGTTAACGACGTCTTGGCGACACGACGTCTCGTCCTCCGGCTAGCACGTACAATGCCTGACGAGCATAGGCAGTCGGCCGGCCGGCTTGGTGATTGGGGATCAAAAGGGAGCGCTGCTCCTCTTGTCAGCTCCGGCGCCGGCCACGCCAGCCCTCCTGTCGCCCGACGAGTCGACAAGGCCATCAGTCACGCTGCTGCCAGTGGATCGGCCCACGCACAAAGGCATCTGCTCAGACGAGTTTCCAGGCCAAACTTAACAGAAGTCATCAGTTTACACATCGTTAAAGAGCCCCCATAATGATTGATATAATTCGAACACGTTGGCATCCGCAACGGTCAGCTCGAACTGGAAGGCATTGGTTTTCATTTCTGCTTGCAGAAGTTGGTCCAAGGTGATCGCAATGTGTTGCCAAGCCAAACCAGTTTTAGTAGAGTTGGAAAACTGCAGCATTTCTCAGCAGGTGAGAATTCTAACGCTGCACTGGAGCTCTTGGGCAAGCTTTAAGTGATGCTCAGAGTCGCTACAGAGGAAACCGATTCAAATGCTAGTTACTGATTACTTTCAAAATTAGTTGCGTTAACTCTGCCATGTAAGTGAACGTGTAATGGAGGGTAAATGAATATTTTACATCGAGGCCAACTCCTCGCATGAATGCATTTATCTGTGCTCGTTTATGGTGTATCAGACTGATCAATTAGGTTCGCTAATAGAGCTTTATAGACTTAATTTACGAAATCACCTGCCCCAAACATGTAGGAGTGGGCAGTTGCATTGTGGTGTGATGTCCGTTCATTCCAGTGCCGCCCACTAATTAGAAATTCACTTAACTCGAACAATTTTATAGTACACTTTGATTTTCAATTAACGAGCTTTAACTGTGCTACAATACAGTTAAGACTACAAATAACGTCCGCTAGACCTTTATTGGCGATATTTAAAGACGATACATTCTTTTTTGGGGGGATACTTCAATGCAAAACTTTTGGTTTGTCTTTTGCAAAACTTTTGGTGCACACGATTTAGCCACCCGGCGAAAGTTTTTGACACATCCTCAATGCCCAGCCATCTTGATCTGCATGCTTGCTGCATGTTCATACTTTTGAACATTGTCAATCAAAAAGCAAATATTATGCATATTTGAGGTAAACATAAATACGGAAGCATATGGTAGTACGTTCTTGCCATTTTTAAAATGCATAGATACGTAATTCTAACGACTGCAGTGCCTATTAGGCTGCGCTGACAATACGACGCTATGAACGAAAAACAGTGCTTCCTACGCTTCACTGGATGGATAGATGGATTGATATAGCTGTGCTCTTCAGATCGGGCGGTGGCTAACGCCACCAAGCCGTAATACTTAGGGAACCAAGAACTAGATTTTTTTTTTTCCCTTTAAATAGTGAGGTTGAGAGGACTGGTACTTTGCAGTGAAGGGTTTTATTTTCACTCGTGCCTTGACTTTAGCCACTAATCAAATGAGCTCCTTCTAGTTAATTCTCCCCGTTTATAAAGTCTATTTTGCCCTCCCTGTCCATAAACCCCAGTGCTTTGAAAAACTCTGCGCCATCATCCTGAACTATAGAGTGAAGCCCTTTACAGAACATTATCAAGTGTTCGGCAGTTTTCTCCTCCTCTCCGCACGCACTGCATACCGTGTCTACCCCTTCGTATTTGGCCCGATATGTCTTGGTTTGCTATACACCCATCCTTGTCTCAAACAGTAGAGAACTACCTCAAGTATTATCATAGATCCTTTCCTTGGCAATTTTCTGCTTAAAAGTTCAATAGGTCTCTAGTGCGGACCTCTTAATCATGCCAATTCTCCACATATCGGTCTCCACTTCCTTCACCTTCTTCTTAACCGATAATTCTTCTTGGTTTGGCCCCCTGCTGTTTTCTTAGTATTTACCCGTCAATTTTCTCCTCCATTTCCTCCGCTTCCTCCTTCCTCCACTAGATGGATGGATGGAGGGATGGATGGATGGATGGATGTGGCTGTACCCTTTAGATCGGGCGGCGGCTGACGCCACCTAGCCATAATTTTTAGTGAACTGACCACTAGATTTATCTTTTTTTCCCTTATAAATAGTAAAGTTGAGTACTGGTACTTTGCAATGAAGGGTTTAACTTTCACTCTTGTCTTGACTTTAGCCACCAATCAGACAACCTTCTTCTAATTAATTCTACCACAGATTTGGGCGCACGTTAAAGAACCCCAGGTGGTCGAAATTTCCGGAGCCCTCCACTACGGCGTCTCTCATAATCATATGGTGGTTTTGGGACGTTAAACCCCACAAATCAATCAATCAATTAATTCTACCAGCTTAAAGTCTATTTTGCCCTCCCGGTCCCTAAACCCCAGTGCTTTGAAAAACTCTGCGCCATCATCCTGAACTAGAGGGTGAAGCCCTTTATAGAACATTATCAAGTGTTCGGCAGTTTCCTCCTCTCCACATGCACTGCATACCGTGTCTACCCCTTCGTATTTGGCCCGATATGTCTTGGTTCGCAATACTCCCGTCCTGGCTTCAAACAGTAGAGAACTACCCCGGGTATTATCATAGATCCTTTCCTTGGCAATTTCCTGCTTAAAAGTTCGATGGATCTCTAGTGCAGACTTGTTAATCATGCCAATTCCCCACATGTCAGTCTTTGTTTCCTTCACTTTCTTCTTAACCAGTAGTTCTTTTTGGTTTGGCTACCTGCAGTTTTCTAAGTATTTACCAGTCAATTTCCTGGTTCGCTTCCTCCATTTTGTATCGACTTTGTTCATGTACAAGTAGCTGAAAACCTTCCTAGCCCAACGCTCCTCCCCCATTTCTCTCAATCGCTTCTCAAATTTTATCCTGCTGCTAGCTTTTCTGCCCTCAAATGATGTCCATCCCATATCACCTTATACTCCCTGATTTGGTGTATTCCTGTGAGCTCCTGAAGCAAGCTTACCTATTCCACGTTGCTTAATTTCTAATCTTGCTTGAACTTCTGATCTCATGCACAAGACCGCATTGTTGAACGTCAGACCAGGAACCATGACCCCTTTCCATATTCCTCTCACAACATCATACCTATTGTAATTCCACAGTGCCCTATTTTTCATGATTGCTGCTTTCCTGTTACCTTTGTCGTCACATATATTTCGTGTTCCCTTAGGTACTCGGTCCCATTGCTTATCCATACGCCCAGATATTTGTATTTATCTGTTATCTTTAGCGTGACCTCCTGTATTCTAAGCTCACTACATTCATTATCATTAAAAATCATGACTGCTGATTTTTCCTTACTGAATCTGAAATCTAATCTATCTCCCTCATTACCGTAGATGTCCATCAATCTCTGCAAATCTTCCTTGCTGTCGGCCATTAGCACTATATCATCTGTGTACATTAATGCTGGTAGTGCCTGATCAATGAGTTTTCCTTGTTTGATGAAAGAGAGGTTGAAGCCAAGTCCACTTCCCTCTAATTTGGCCTCTAATCCTTGTAGGTACATCATGAATAACAAGGGTGACAGAGGACACCCCTGTCTAAGCCCCCGTATCACCTCTGTAGGCTTGGATACCTGTTTTTCCCACTTTATAACTACCTTGCTACTTTTATAGATTTCCTTTAAAAGATTAGTGACTCCATCTTCCACACATAGTGTGTGCAGTATTCCCCACAAGTCCTCTTGAACCACACTATCGTACGCTCCCTTGATATCCAAAAACGCTGCACAGGGGCCTTAGTAGGCCTTAGTTCCTTTTCTGTTATTTCGATGCACTGCGTCAGTGAGAACAGATTGCCTTCCAACCTCCTGTGTTTCCGAAACCCATTCTGCAGTTCTCCCAGCACCCCTTCATCCTTTATCCATGCCTGCAGTCTTTCTGCAGCGCCAACCTGTTGACCACTGATGTCACTGTTATAAGACGGTAGTTGCTTATGTCAGCTTTGTCCCCCTTTCCTTTGCTCATCCTGCTAAGTTTCCATCCATTGGGAACTTCTCCGTCGATTATTATTTTGCTCACTGCCTCTCTCAAAGCCTGCTTAGACTTTGGACCTAATGTCTTTATCAGCATAATTGAAATGCCATCTGGGCCTGTTGATGTACTACTAGGAACCCTTTTCTCTGCCCTTTCCCACTGCCGTTGGGAAAATGGAGCCATTGCTACACTTGATCGATTCTTGTCTATTGTGGTTCATAAGGCACTTCTT